TTACTTGGAATTAATACCCAGTAAGGCTCTAGCAGAGTGTGAGTGTGTGTATAAGATCGACCCCTCCACTCCCTCCCCAGTTGTAAGAACCTGAAACAGAATCACTAGTTGAGTGTATGAATCAAGGCTGAACTGAAGAAGAAAAAAAAAAGGGGGATAGAAAGTCTCTAAATTCTAGCTGAATTTATGTCTTCAATTCCGCGTTCTTTACACATGAAATTTCTAGGGATGCTGGTTATTTAAATTCCATGGAATTGATGGAAAAGTAGAATCCTTTCAATTCCTTCAGCTGGGTGACTCCAAACACTCCTAATTCTTTTTTTATTTTTATTTTTTTGACCTAGATCGAAGATCTTTTGTTGTATTCCTTTGTCGATGCTCCAAACTCCAAAGGCCTCAAGTTTATAACCCTATTTAATTACTTATACTCTCTCTTTGATCATGAAGTGGGATTGCAAGCTTATAAGCTAGTGGTGGTACTTCATTACTTGATGCATCAACTTGTAACCTATGTTAATACAACCATTTTACAAGTGAGTTGAGTTGATCTAGATGGATTGGATTTTCTTTTTGTTTTTTTCCCGAAAAGCAATCTAGATGGATTGAATTGAGTTAGGTAAAAGGTACTCACTGTATCTAAGTTTAAAATTTAAATGTTCATGAATTGATAGAGAGGTGAATAGAAAACTTTTCAAATTTAAATAGGTTGAAATTAATTAATGGATTGGATTGAACGTAGGGAGTTGAGTTGGACCCATGTTTGTAATAAGTAAACCGATTATTCATGGATGTGGGTGAATTGCTCTTCAACCTGCAACTGCAACTTAAACCAACCCAACCTACCCGATTGCCACCCTTAAATGTTGCATGTACCAAATACCATCAATCATTGAGTATTTGACTATTACTTTGTGATGCACAGATGGGTCTAGGTAGCCATTGATAATAGGTCATGCAAGAAGTTTCCTTTCTTCCTTGACGATTTGGAAATTAAACAAGTCTTGGGTTTTTAAATTTTGAACCTTAAGTGGGTCCAAAAGAGTTGATGTCTGCCAATCGATGTTGTAAAGGTGACTCATTTGGGTATATACTTGTGTTTCCAAAAAAACAAAAAACAAAAGGAGGGATGTCCTTCATTCAGTCCTTAATGGGGCCCGGCCCAACCGGTCTAGGCATGTGGGCCATATCCCTTAGAAGTTAGAAAGGCCAAAGGAGAACGGAGTCATGTGCAACCATGTGCGTTCCGTTCCCACCACTAAAGCCAGCTGGGGGGACGGCACGGCACTCCACTCAAAACGTCACCCAACCACATCACCCCTCCCCCCCTCTCCCGCCTTCTCTATATACTAACTACTGTAAACAAGGCTTCCCTTACCCTTACTTATTTTCTAACCACCATCACATTATTGCCTTCGCTCCTACGCCCATGACAAGGTCTTCCTACGCCAACCACTGAAATGAACCCACGTAAAAGGCTGTATATCCACGTCCAATTAATTAAGTAGACAAGAAAAACGTCAGAAGTGACATAAAAATTGAATCCAGGCTGAGCGCCTTCAAGTCCACTCTAACGTTGACACAGGACTCCTTTTGTTTCCTGCCGGGCATAAGAAAGCTCTCATACATACTACGGCTTATGAGCCAAAGAGAAGTCCACTCCACTCCACTCGTCCATTGTCTACACTCTCTACACCTTAGAAAGCTGTCCACACTCCTCTGCGGACTGCATGCGGTCCCCCCATCCTCTCTCTCTCTCTCTCTCTCTCCCTCTTTAATAACTCCATCTCAATAATGCTAGCTTTATTATTTATGATTTATGAACTGCTCTGGCTCTGGCCGACGGGGTCGAATCGAAGCTCTCAAACTATTAACTAGCCTGAGTGTGTATCGTTAGCGTGGCTATCAAATCGAGACCATTCAAGTGGGCCCCGCTCGCCCAAATACATAGTTCGTATGATATATATCTCGTCTTGTGCCACTGTGCCACTAAAGACGATGTCTTATGTCTACCTATTGAATGGTCAAAAATCAAGATGAATGAGTTGTCTCACTGTTAAGCGGGTAGGATGTAAGGTATAGTGTCTGTCCTATTGGCTATTGCACCATATATACCAACGGTTTATAGTTTTATATAATAACGAGAACAAAAGACAACAGTGATAACGGTGATGGACCTTGACAATTCATTATCATATTTACTCCTCTTCTTCTTCTTTATGCTATGTCAACAAACATATATAGCAAGCCAATTACATGGATTTTCTTTTTTAAGTTATTCTTTAAATAATTGCTTCTACTTGGTAGGTTGGTTCCGCCAATCAAAGCCCCAAGGCCTATGAAGCATGTGCGGAGCACGAGCCTCCCCACGCATAACAGTATAGTTGTCACTAGTAATAGTAGTAGATGACTACTAGCTAGTAGGCCATGGCCTTCCACATATGAGCTGGGCCTCGAGCCCAACGACGTTATTTAACAGTTATGATCGTTATATATACACTTCAAATTAAGAAAATGAATAGGTGGCTTAAATAATTATTAATAATATATAACTTCCTTTTTACGTATAAACCAGCAACCCCCCCCCCCCCCCCCCCCCCCCCCTCTCTCTCTCTGAGGGCTGGTACTGCTCTATTGATCACATAATCACATGTATGATGTCTTTGTTCACAACAGTTTCACGTATCATGTCTATGGTTCTTCTCATCAATCCATATCCACTTCATGTGTAACATGTGTATAGACACTCTTTACCAAAAAAAAAAAAAGAGTATAGACACCACTAAATTGGAATAAATTATAACGGTAGCTCTGTTGTGGAACACGTGGCAATACATCGGCTTCCTACGTTGCATATCGCCTAAATATATACTATTTTTTTTCGCCAAAAGCTATTCGATCACATAGAAGAGACTTTATTATCTAATAGCAACACATGTGCTCCCCACTAGTGGTTTTGAGATTCTAACCAAGCCATCGAGCAAGGAATAGCGCAGCTCTTGTGAATTGGAGTGAGAGCCACAAAAGGCGACAAAATGGGGTGGGTGATCGAGCCACTTCAAACCGACCAAACCTAAGGAAAGACTCAATGACAGATGGGTTGATGAGGAGAAGCATGTTAGAATAGACGCATAGATTCTAGTTTCTAGATGAGAGAGCGAGAGATGGGTTTTTTCTTAGGGGTCCTCTCCCTCCCTCCATTTGGATGTATTATGCAAAGCCCAATTACATCATCAGTTGGATGACAAGCACAGCGAGATGTGCAAGTTGGCATCAACGACAAGAGCACATGAATACCTTCTTTTTCCTATCTAATTTCATCATCGTCACCCACGCACCTGCACACATTAAATCGTCACACGAGGGCTCAAGCTTTCTATTACTAATTTCCCTAGTACTAGTCGGACCACACATGAGTGACGTTGCATACATGCATTCATTATGTAATGCACCATCATACACACATCTAACATGCATACCCGTATAGTATTTCATTAATTTAATTCATGAAATTATATATACAAAAATGAAAGGAAAAGAAATATATTTCATGCGGCTTGGTTGTATATATATATATATATATATAATTATCAAGCTTATATCCACGTGGGAAAATCCATCTGTCAAAGTCATCATCATCCTTCACATGCCTTGTTCCTTCAACTCTCCAGTTTTTTCGAAAATTTGCTGAGGCAGGTGTGGAGGGGACCACAAATGCCTGCTTACGTGGTTTCATACACGTTAGATAAATAGACACTCTTCTCCCATTGAGACTCGGTTTTGTGTCTAATCCAATAATCCATGGGAGTTGACCTCCGTGGCTTTATTTAACTTTGGCCCCTTGCGCGCGTGGGTCCTATGGCTTCTGATCTCCTTTGAGTGCTCAGATCACTGCTTGGCCCGGCTTGGCTCATCAGCTTCTTTCTTCTTGGACAATTCTCATCTCTTAATTAGTGAAATCATCAAATCTTGAACACTACCAGGCACCAGCATATTGATTAGGTGTAGGGAGGTGGCTCATCCCGTTTTTCTTCACACTCTCTAGTTGTAGATTGGAATGGCCTTATCTCTACAGCATGATTATGTATATATATATTAATTCAAGGGAGACTCCACGTGAAGACTGAAGACAGTATACAAGACATTCTTAGAAACTTTCTATTTATATTCGGCTAGGTCAGCAATAGATTAATTAGAAGTCTCTCATAGTTTGGATCCCCACCATTTACTTAAGGGGCAATTTGCCAATTTATGAAGGTGATTCGATCCAACTTCCCTTTGGCCAGGCCCATAAGCATTCATCAGGTTTGACCGGTTTTATGTTAAACCGGTCCGAGGGAGACCTAAGTTACCTAACATGCTGAGGGCCTGAGGCCAAGGTCTACTACACTGTTTTTTAATAGTTTTTATAGAATTCTACAGTCGACTGGTTCAAGTTCGACCTGGAGAATAGACCAGCTGGTTAGGAAAACTGTGAAGGATATGTCTTTGTCTTTGACCAAGGCAGATCCATGAGCCTAATTTTTGTGGCAACAGGACAAGAGGATGCCAACTGAACAAATGACCAGTTATATATACATGATAATACATTCACAGGGAGACTGGCGACCCGCTTAGTATAGTCGATGGTCCAGAGTTCAGAGGATCGACTCTTGAGTTCGGAGTTCCATCCACCTGCATAAAATTTGGAGAGTACGAAATGAATGACTTGGGCCGTTGGATCTGTATCGCATCAAATCACGCAGGGGATCTGAACACCTGCGACCGAAAGGGAAGGTACCGGGATTCGGGGACTACGAGGACCAGATACAAGCAAGTAAACAAAACTAGTGGCTGGAGAGAGCGTGCGAGTCTGTCAGACACGTGTGTAGCGCATTGACGTGGCAGATGGAAAACGACAAAAGACTGGGCGTGTGAGAGGAAATTCCCTTGGAGCCAAGCAGGTCGGCGCACATGGGTCAGTCCCTCTCTTTCTCACCCTCTACCCCCTCTCATTTATAGCTGACCCCCTTTCTTCTTCCTTTGTCCCTCGGCTACTCAAACTCCCTTCTCCTCCCTTCTCGTTCTGGTTCAGAGATTCTCTTTCTCTTTCTAGTGCTAGCTAGAGAGGTTCGTCATTGCTTCTAGATACAACAGATTCAAGTTTTGGCGCAGATATACATCGGTTCACCTGAGAGAAGAAGCTATGCGTAACGGAAGTTCCGGACTGAGTTTACGGAGACGGGGTAGGAGGGTGAGTGATCGTAGGTCGGTCCGGATGAAGGTGAGAAAGCTCCAGAGGCTGGTGCCTGGTGGAAGAGGGTTGCAGCCTGATCGGCTTTTCCTTCAGACGGCTGATTATATTTTGCATTTGAGGTTGCAGCTTAAAGTTTTACAAGCTCTTTCCAAGTTGTATAAACCATGAGTCTATGGTGTACGGGCACCACACTAGTCGGTTCTTTCTTTTCTTCTCTTTGATCTTTTGATTAATATATTTATATTAAAAAGATGATCGTTGTTGTTGTTCTATCAGTTATCACGGTTCCATATTCATCATCATCAAGCTAGCTATATGTTTTTTTTTCTCTTCTCTTCTCTGTAAGTTATAAAGCCTGAAAATGCCATTGGCTGTCATGGCTTTTGAAGAGAGTCTGTCTTAGGGCCTTCTTTTTTTTCCCTTTCTCGTGCCTGTAGGTCGTGGATGGAGACTTGGAGAAGGGAGTAACATGGTGTAGAGTAGGATCTATCCAGTTCGGCATTGAATAATTGGGTTTTTCTTCATATTGTTGTCAACATCTAATTCTAACCTGAAAATCGAAAACTGCTTTTGGTTTGACGGAAAATAAGAGAGAGAAACAGAAAGTCGAGGGAAAGTTCTTAGAGAAATTCTTATTTTCCATCAAACCAAACATAGCCTTAAGGAGTGATCTTGTTATTCTCCCTTTTTCCTTCTCTTTTTTCCAATTATAACGCTAGCTAGTTGCAAGAGTGTAGCTAGGGTGAGCTGTGTTCATGTATTTTTTGTTCTCTTACTGAGCAATAATATTTCTGTGTTTTTACAGCTCAATCTCCACGTTGGAATTTAGAAAAAAAATCTTAATTTATTCATCTCATTGTACACAATTTTTTTTTTAATTATTCCTCTCTCAAGAAAAATGACTGTTCTATTTTTATATCTGGATTTCATTTTCAGCTTCAACGGAGGGTGATTTTACTATAGAATTGTTATTTCACAAATAAAGGGGAAAAAAGGGAAATATTTTACAAGCTAAGTAACTATCATTATAAAAAAATTAACGGGTTTTGGACCTTAATTTTGCTTTCCACTGGTTCTCAATTTCTATTTACTTCCTGGATTGGACATTATTTAACCAAGCAGCCTGTTTCAATTTCCTCTTCCTCTGATTAAAACGTTCCATTAATCAATAATTCGTGGTAGGATTTAGCCTATTATCATTAATTAGATATTCCATATGAAAAGTGACGGGCGTTGCAGATAATATATTATTTAGAAATGTAGGGTATATAATATAATATATATGATATCAGTCTGGGATCACACTACCAATCTGTTAAGATTAGTTTATGCTATCATTAATTTTATAATGCTTTCCTCATTAGTTATCCTCCAAACGAAGTAAAAGTCTACTAATTAAGCAGAAATTAAAAGAGAAGAAAGTTCAACATACTGAGGCATATTCTCTTCTTGAAAAAAAAAAAAAGTCTGGATTAACTGCACTTGATGGCTGTATTAGAGGATGCTTAACAAATAATAACACCCCACGTCAGTCATGCATCTCTAAGTGAAAGGTTGCCGAGTAGGACTGCAAGTTGGGCTGGATTAGGTCGGGTTGGGCCCAACCTAACCTTCTTCCCATCCCTTAAAACCTCATAAATTTCTCGATTTTAGATCTTAACTCAACTTTCACTACATATATTAATCCTATGTTTCATTAGTATTTGCTTGTTGACATTTTTTTTTTGGTACACAATTTAGAAAAACAAGTGTTAGAAATAACCATAGTCTATTATGAGTTATGGCTTACAATAGATCTTTCTTGGGCAGCAAACAACATAGAGGAGATGAAAAATAAAATTTTCAAAAAMACAAAATTATATTATTAAGGTTTTAATCATTTACGATTAAGTGAATTGATTATCTTAAAAGAAATACATGATACTATGTGGTGGGGGCTATACAAATACCATGCATCTAGACAAATCAATGTATGTTATATATTACATATAACATATATTTATATATGACATGTACTATAGAGTCAGGTTCAGATTGGGTCGGATTGGCTAAGAGGTCAACCCTAACCCAACCCGAAGTAAAGTCGGATTCATGAATTTCAACCCTAACCCAACCCGAAGTAAAGTCGGATTCATGAATTTCAACCCTAACCCTAACCCGAACATCAAACCAACCCAACACAACCCAATTTTTTCAGGTTGGGTTCATACCAACCCGGCCCAAGTTGCAGCCTTATTGCGGAGCATTTACACGACCTTATATAGACAGTACAGTCTTCAGTCTTCAGGTGCAGCAAATCCGGATTCCAACAAAAAGGAAATAATAGAAAACCAAAAAAGAAAGGTTTTTCAAATGTCAATTCCATGAATCTCCAGATTTCCTAGTTTGGTTGCTTTTATTCGGAATTTGGTCAAATATAATGCCGATTTTCATCATCAGTAGACCCGAAGAAGTGCTTTAATTTAATGAATTCTAGGCAGTCGTTCGCGATACTCTTACAATTAGACAGTCTCACACACCTGCATCTGCATGCTAGTTCTGTTACTTTACAGCCTAGCTATTTTATGGATAAATAGTCCAGTGTCATCGTGCTGAAATGCAATACAGAGGTTACTGTAAATTGTCGATCATATGCAAGCTGCCTTTGAATTGACAATTAACGAGCCAAGAAGCCAAAGCAGCTCTGATGCATGACTTGATCGACCTCGATCGATTAAGCTCCTCGTTGGAGTCTGGGACAGTTTAAGAAGAGAAGCTCGTAGCTAGAAAAGCAATAGCTCATTAACATCTAATTCCCCATTGGGAATCTAGCATTTAGGTGTGTATAGGAGACAGGTTCCCTACAAACCTCGTGTAGTGAAGTAGAGTGAGTTTACACAGACCAGAAACCTAATTGCGTAGTGGCTTCTTAGCTAGGTTGTGGTCCTGATGAAGAAACCCATGTGTTTGCCACCTCTCCCTCTCTCTCTCTCTTCATACATGGTAAGTCCCTGCACAATAGCCATGTGGTTGAAAGATACCTTTTTCCTCATCTTTGTCTATCATGGAAAAAGATAAAATTAAAAAATTAAAAAAGAAAAGAAAAGAAAAAAAAGTTGTGTGTACATGGCCCGCCGGCCGGCTGCCGGAGAGTATGATGCTTATGTGATACGGTTAATTACATTTGATAGATGTGTCCCCAACTAATATATATAATATAGGTGGAGTATCTTTATTCATGCATCTTCTACACCGTGCCCCTATATATTATCACCGGACTCCCAAATAAGGTGGCCTTCTCCGGCCGGCCCCTACACCAATAACAGCAGATACAAATGTAACTACAAGCATGGCTCACGGCTCATGGGTGAGGTAGCCTCTTCTTGATCCTCCCGACCACCACGCCAGCGCCAGCCACGACCGAGGGAGGCCGTCCACTCTTCAAGCACCTCTCCACTCTCCAGATAGGCAAGCCATGCCGGCCCTTAATTAATTAGCTTCTATCATGCGTTGATGAAGCGGCAGAGCCTTCAAGACAGATCCCATGCTGGAATGTACACAAGATGGGACCCAGCACCCCCAAATTAAAGCATATAACGTGACTCTGGTCAGCTAACTTCAATGACTCGCTTCTCCATTCTCCAGCCCGAATTTGGTCACGTTTCCACCATATTTATCATACTCTGATCGATGTCCACAATTTTCTTTAATTCACGCAGGCTACGCTACGCTGGTTGTTTGATGAAGGTGGCCTTCTCCTTATTGGCTGCTCAGGTTTCAACAATATTGATTACGGCCGCCGGGTCACCCATCATCCTATAGCTGCCTTACCATGATTCGGTATATAAACACAAAGGAAAATCTATGATGCAGAAAAGATATGTTTTCCACCATAGATCTTTTGAGGAGATGCAATTCCTCTTCTATACGTAATCATATGTTTTCCACCAGGTATTTGTGTTTATATCTAAATACCTGGCTTTAATACAATTGTATATGATGTGATCTATTCACGTCTTGATTTTGGGATTTTATTAGGAGACGATGATCAAAATCCCTACCATTTCCATTTTATGGGATTGAATTGATTTTACAATCCAGTTTTTTTTTTTGGATTTTTACAATCCAGTAGTCTTCGTATATAGTTCCGTTTTTATTCTACACGCCTCTTATAATTGGAAACTAATTAAGGGGTGTTCTATAGTGTGGATGAGAACACCTTGTGGCAGAGACCAATCCACACCATACCACAGTCTACAACTATTTTGAACTATGGACAAATTGTGTGGACTTGACCAATCCACACCCATAATAGCATTTTGTAGTGTGGTGCACTTTTTTTGATTCTATGTATCTCACATACATTTTATGAATGATATACACAGTATCATAAATATCTAATTTTTTGCATTTTATATGATAAATATTTTGAAAAATGCATCAATGAATTAATATTAATTAATAAGTATTATTTTTTTATAAAACTATAATAAAATAATTAAAAATATATTTCAAATATTAAAAAATATTATTCTATCGATAAAAACATTAAAAAATTATAAAAATTAAAAAATTAAATAAAATAATTAATATTTTATTAACAAAAATATTAAAAATAATATTTAAACAATTTTTTTTGCAAGATAAGTATGGCATCTAATGATTTATGCAAACTAATAATCTACTGATTCCCGTACTAGTTGTAAGATAAGACGCTCAACATAAATTAATTATCCCATGAAACCAAACTACCTTTCAAAGATGCACTGCTGGCCCAATCAAATTTGGAACAGCCAGTACTCTCACAAAAAGCTACATACATAGATTAAAAAATGAGCTAACATTTTTTTAGCTCATTTGTGATAGAAATAAAAGCTACAGAAAGCTCCTTTCGGATAAAAAATTGAACAGCCATTACTCTCACAAAAAGCTACTTACATGAAACCAAACTACATTTCATTTTGCAGGTTGTTTTTCCTCGAGAACTGACGTTCATTTTTTTATAAACAACGGTTGTTTTTCCTGAGCTAACATTCATTTTTTGTCTGATGAAAAAGAGAGAAACTAGCAGGCAGAGAGAAATTAACTAACATTCATCAGTTTTGTCTGATAAAAAAAATGAGCTAACACCCATTTGTCTTTTTTCATCAGGTTGTCCGTGGAAATATGAATCTATGCGAAACAGAGAGAGAGAGAGAGAGAGAGAGAAACTAGCAAGCGGAGAGAAATTTATCGGTGGTGGAGAGTTGCAGTGGCAGAAAAGCTTCAACGAGCAGGCAACGGAAACCTCCAACGATAATGTGAAGCAGATAATAGGGTTTTAAAGAGACTATGAAGCATGGGATAAAAAATAAATTGTGGAAGAGACGTATTCATGAGTTTTTCCCGTTGATATTATATTGAGATGTGAATGAAACCGATCTATAATATAGCGTAAACTGGTCCCGTTCACACCGAGCCAAACAGGTATTCATTCCACAGGATGAACACGAGAAATGAGTAATCATTAACTATAATGTTTAGGCACCGTCTCGAATAATCCAGA